TAAGGTGTCCCATTTTAAATAATGCATTAAGATTTCTTGAAAACTATGGTCGATACGAAAAAATGTTTCAAACAAAAGTTGTATGGTTCGGAGGGGGACATAAGAAGATACCATTGAGTGGCATCGCCAAGGCCAGATCAAGGTCACATCGATTTTTTTAAATGGACCCCTTCTATTTTTCATTACATTTTCTTGTAGCTTACCTCGAGAGCTTTTCAAAACGTTATAATAAAATATCTTTTCATTAAGTATTTTTCGAGTTATAAGGCTCGAAAGTTACAGTACAGTCAGCATTAGCATTGCGCAAGTTGTCCGACCGACGACTAAAACCTCTTGAATGTTGTTCAGGATTATATCCTGGATAACATTTGTCAAGATCAAGGTCATTGGAGATTATTCCTCTTATTTTCATTTTTGCACTAAAAATTCATTTTTACATAAAAATGAAAACAAGAAGTACAACTTCCATATATACAGAACTATACGGGAATTGCCATAAAACTCACAGAACTATCGAAAATTGGTCATTTTTGCTCCTATAAAAGTGATTTTGGGGAGGGGGAATCGTTAAAAACTGAAAATAACGTTGTTTATCGTCAGAACTCTTTCTAAAACTCATCTAGAACTATGTGTAACTTTTGAAATCCTACAAGAATCTGTGATAGTGATGGGTATTAAGATGCTTTGAATTAATTCGAATATATCATGAAAAATTCGAATTAATTCAAATACGATTTGAAATTATACAATCTTAAAAGTCTCTTGAATGTTTTGAATGTCTTGAAAAGTCTTGAATGTTTTAATAAATTTAAAGACTACAGCTGCTCAAAGTTGACTCCTTTTTTTTGCGCGGTGCAGGCTTATAGGTCGTTCTAATTATCTGAAATAAAAAATCCAAAATTTTTTCGTTAAAATATGATCTTGCGCAGATCTTGAACCTAAATTTAAAAAAAATCGAAAATTAAAAATTCAGGACACTTTTAAAAAAATCGATTAATTTTTTTACAAACAAAAAGTGTCCTGAATTTTTAATTTTCGATTTTTTTTTTAATTTAGGTTCAAGATCTGCGCAAGATCATATTTTAACGAAAAAATTTTGAGGATGTCAAAACCACAAAGCGATATACTTTAGAACTTGTAAAAACATTTTTTCTATCCTTAAAAACGTTTTATAATCCAGATAAATGCAACTTTTAAAGGCTCTGTAGGAGATCCCGGGAAAATTCCAACTGGATCTTGTTCTGGGTGAACAGACCTACAATTTGAGGGGAGTAACGTCCCATTTGAACGCTTGGAACCTTGCTAAAATCGATCTTGAACTCGAAATTTGATCATTTTTTCACATTAATTGGACTGTATTTCTTAAGGCGTATATCATAGGACTAAATGAATTATTGCATCGCGTTCGATGCAATAATTCATTTAGTCCTACGATACACGCGACCAAAAAAAAAACATACAAAACCACATTTAAAATTCGGATCAAGCATTTTTGCACGAAATCAAACATGTATTACGGAAAATAAACTTTGATTTAAAAATCGTTTACTAGCGATCTCCAAATCTTAATATTTTTGATAAAAATTTAGGGGTGTTCTTTTGGCATGAAATGGAGCTTTCGTGCTAAGAGGCCGACTAAAAAGAAAATTTTTCTTCCTTGTCAATCTAATGGCGAATTCGATTGAAAGCACTAGTGCGCACTGGTGCATATTAAAGCCGTTATACACTGATTTAATTTGAGTATAAAAATGAAATGCAAATATTTCGGATTATGAAATACATATTTTACCTAATAGTACAATAAAATGTATTGAGTTTCACGATTTAATCGATTTTTATGTTTATTTATAAACATATCTTTACGTTATTTTATGTACGACGGCACTCAGTGCACCAGTGTTTACTGAATGCGTCTAATCGAATTCGCTATTGTACATATATACCCTGTATATACCGGGTGTTTCCAATCACCCCATTTAAAAACGAGGGAAGTAATTATTTTGAAAAATGTTTCAAATAAGTTGTTGGGGTTTAAGTAATGCATTACATGGGTATATGCGATTGACCTTGGGTGGCGTCGTCAAGGTTAGGTCAAGGTCACATCGATTTTTTTAAATGGCACACCCTATTTTTGATTCCAGAATCTAATAGCTGGTGTCGAGAGCTTTCCAAAACACTGTAATAAAATTATTTTGTATTGAGTACTTTTTGAGTTATAAGATTCGAAAATTACAGTACCGCCGGCATTAGCATTACGCAAGGTGTCCGACCGACGGCTAAAACCTTTTGAATGTTGTTCAGGATCATGTCTTGAATAACATCGTTAAGATCAAGGTCATTGAAGATTGTTTCTCTTATTTTCATTTTTGCATTGAAAATTCATTTGTGTGCGTGCGTGCGTGCGTGCGTGCGTGCGTGCGTGAGTGCGTGCATACTCTTTAAATTTCTTGGAGTGAAATGTCATTTTCAGAGAGTGAAAATACGGCCATTTTTGAAATTTCACTCAAAAAGAGTGAAAATTGTCTCCTTTTCAAGAAGTGAAATATTTTCACTCTTCTCCAAAAATAATTATATTTTCACTTTCTTAGAGTGAGATTTTACTCCAAGAAATGTAGAGAGTAAAAGCATCTAATAAATCTACAAGGAATATATATCTATTGGTATTACATGATTTTACAAATATTCTCTTTAAATTATGAACTATCAATTTCTCCTTTATTTTAGCCGATATTTAAATTACTTTTAGATATCAGGCGACAATTAAATTGTGCATTACAGGTTTAATGCTTGCGGTGCAGTGAACCCTTAAAAGAAATGCGCGAAAGCACTTTTAAGGTTTTAAGTTCGAGAACAAGAGACGTATTGGGAGGGCAGGCGAGATACGAGGAGGGGCAGTCGTGACTGCCTCTCGAGGATTGTCTCACTGGAAACTCCGAGCTCGGGGCTCGGTCGTGTAAACTCTCGGTTAGCTATGAGATTCAAGTTAATTAGCATCGCCATGATCCAACCTTGACAAGAACTTTAATCTTAGTCAGCTAATAAAATTACTCAACACTTACTTAATTGAGTTAATCGAACAAAGTTAAAATCGATCAAGTGAGAATAGTTAATAGTTTAAATTAGTTGAGACTACGGGGCGATTGACCTTGGGCAATGAACCTAATTGGTAACTGGAACTGGAATATGGGTCCTGTTGATGGCCTGTGACATTTTTCTAATTTTTAAATATGTAATGATTTGGAATAATTTTATGTTTTACAATCTTATTTGTCACAATTTTGTTTATATAGGTTAACTGTCATATAATATATTTATGCTAAGTTCAAGTGTTGTATTTTTTTTATATAAACAATAACATTATAGAGTTAAAAATTTTAAAATTTCTAAACTAATAACAAAAAACTTTATTGGGTCTATATGTTTTTTTAGCGTCATAAAAATATGTGTTCATGTTTACTTACTTTAATGTTGAACGATCGCGGTAATCAAATTTGTAAATTATCGTGAGAGCGTGATCGTCGATGGTACGCGTTTTTCTCGAGCACCTCGTATTGTTTGCATTCGAGGAGGAATCGTTTCTGGATGCGCTGCATCCAACACTCATGCCGCATAGTGAGAATCGTAACACACGAACGCGATATCCCGCAGCTGCCTGGTGCACAGAACAGACGCCTCATGCTTTACGCCTCTGCTGTGATAATTTATCTCGTGGTATCACAACAGACGGTTGCCAGCTTTCCGAGCAGTCTCGCACCGGAGGAAGGTCTTCGAAGGAACGTGAAAGAGTCAAAACAGCCCGGCAGGGTTTGACAAGGTGGGTCCAACCCACCAGGTTTTATTGGGTTGGACCCACTAAAAAAAATCCACTAAAAAAACTCGTTTAAAAAACCCAAGATGAAATGCCGGTGTACTTGGAATCGAAATTGCATCATTGCACTGCTACGAAGCGCGATTGCTGATAGAACGTTCAAAATAATAGAAGTTTTCGATGTACAAGAGTCGAAGTATGGAGTCTTTTTGTAGAGAAATTTTTAAGAATTATATATAATTTCGATTTTTACAAAACTAAAAAATTTCAAACTGGCACAGTTTTTGTTCTATAAATCGTAGAATAAACAAACAAAAACTGAAATTTTTGCCTTGAAACACTTACGTAGAATTAATAAAAGCTATGTATGACTTTCCCTTCAATTACACAGGCCGACAAAATTTAAGGGGGGTCTTGTGCTTTGAACTTTGAAAGATGTTTCCGTAGGATTTTGATGCGCTGAAAACGTTGTCCGTTTTTTTTCCATCACCCTCCATTTTTTTAAATAATCGCAAAAACAATTTTTTTCAGAAGTAACTTTTTTATTAATTTTTTCCGACTAAACAAAAAATGATATCGAGATCTGTTTTGCAGCATTTAACTCAGAAATGTTCCAACAATACTAAAAATATTTTTTCGACGCTTATAAAATGTTGTATGTAAACCGCAAACAAAAAACTTTGGAAAAATCGTAACTTTGGAAAGAATTGACAAATTTTGAAATATAAAACCAAATAATTAGAAAGAAAAAAATCGTAAAAAATATCTGACAATTTATACTTATAGCTGTATGTTTCTAGTTTAAATTCTTTTTTGAAAAACTAATTTCTTATCATTTGTTCAGAAGTTATTGAATTTAAAGCGCCAAAGCAGCCCTCCCGTCACCTACAGTGCGCGATATCCTCTCCGAGTCTGACACGGAACGGTGATTTTAGCGTTACTCATCCTATATCACGTGGAAGTATCACCTTGTTATAATAAGGATAACGCTAAAATCATCGTTCGATGTACATTTACTATTCGTCGCCACTGGATCTGCTATTTTTAATTCAACAATTGTGATTACAGTAGTACGTAATCAGAGACTTACAAAACCACCAAATATCGATTTTCATGTAAATCGTACGGATTTTTTGAAATTCTTGCCCTCCATGTTGGATCCGCCATTTTGAATTGCACATTTTTTACTTCAGATTTGAAATCAGTGACCAAAAAAGACTACACAACATGCTCCTGTATTCGGTAGCTATGTGTCAGACTCGAGAGGATATCCCGCACTGTAGATGACGCGTGGGCTGCTTTAAATTCAATAACTTTTGAACAAATGGTCGGAAATTAGTTTGTCAAAAAAGGTTTTTAAAAACTTTTTTGTTCTTCTAGTTTTTTAAACTAAAAACATTCAGCTATAAGTATAAATTGTCAGATATTTTTTACGATTTTTTTCTTTCGAATTATTTGATTTTATATTTCAAAATTTGTTAATTTTTCTCAATTTTTTAATGATTTTTTCGTTTGCAGTTTGCATAAAATATTTTTATAAGCATCGAAAAACTATTTTCAGTATTGGAACATTTCTGAGTTAAATGTCGCAAAACAAACCTCAATATAATTTTTTGTTTATCCGGAAAAAATTAATAACAAAGTTACTTCCGGAAAAAACTGTTTCGTGATTATTTAAAAAATGGAGGGTGATGGAAAAAAAGGACAACGTAGTCGTTTTCAACACATCAAAATCCTACGGAAACATCTTTCAAAGCTCAAAGCACAAGATCCCCCTAAGTTTTGTCGGCCTGTGTTATTTATTAAATTATAATGTACAAAATTTACGATTTCTCAAAAATGCTATTTTCTTGAAAAAATTCACAAAAAATCTGTTATAAATAACTCTTCAAATAACGGCTTCCGAACAAAGTCAAATTAGATCAATAAAGGAAAATTAATAAATCCTCGGGTGCTTTGTCAGTGATCTCAGATCATAGATTGGAATTAAATCACAGTTTTGGTTGAGATGATGTGAGTATTTTGGATATGGAACCTTTTTATTACAGAAGATTGATTTCGGAAATGATTTTTATAAAAAGACAAAAAAATGGACTTAATAAGCAAAGCGATACTGAGAGGCTGCCAGACATATATTTTCCCTTTCTTTGTCAGTTTCCCCCTCTCTAACCAATCCCCTCTTTTCCACTCACCAGTTTCTTACTTTACTTAGCTTACAATATGCTTATGTTTTTTCTACTCGTCACATTGCCGATAAATGTCTTCATGAGATCCTGTCAGTGTTTTAACATACAAAAAGTTTGTGATATATCCTTTGGCGTCTCTGTTGACTCACAGGTATTATTAAAACTAATTTTTTTTAACAATTTATTAAATTTTAGTTTACTTTTTATAGTTTTTATCCATTTTAACGCTCAATTTTTATCACTTATTTTCATCTTTGGTATTTTTGTCACATTTAAAGAATGACCAACATACAACAGATTTGTATATCGTAACAATTTTATAGAAATTGATTTGTATATCGTAACAATTGGGATTTTTTCAAGCGAAAAGTAACAACGGTATGGAGCAAGTGAAACTCTTATTAGAGAAGTGTATTTTTTTATTATATTAGTGAATTTCATATAATGTACAAAATGATAGTGATATAATTTATACCAATAGTTGCAACATTATTTTTGTCAATTTTTAAAGCTCCTTATTTTCATTGTATCCTTTGAAGCAATCATGTTGGAATATACTTTGACATTGTTGTGCTATAATGAGCCAGCCGCAATAGCCACATTTTACTTGCTGTAAACAAAGATAATTATATATTAACTAATCATGCCCTTTGCAGATCTTCTCTATTTTTCCATACTTAAGCAGATCAGATCATTGCCACTTTTTAGAAGATTTTTACACATACACAATTTTATATTAAAAGAACTAAAAAAAGAGATATATAAATAGATACATAATAAAGAGTAAATAAAACATAATCTAAACCATATACATCAAACGAAATAAGAACATTATTTGCGCGACGTCTTCTACGCCTGACTCCTATTGCCCTTATTCTTTCTAATTTCTTTTGATTTATAAGGAGTCTTTGTTAGTTTGATTTGTTATACGGAAATAAGAACACTAATCCAAAACAAATAAATACAGAAATAAAGAAAAATACGAGAGTGAATAACACAGTTGTCCACTATTTTTCTAAACTTTAAACTAAAGAATAATAATATAAAAAGAGAAATTTACAGACCTCCATGTCGCCATGTACCAAAATATCACGCTCACGTAAAAATCGCGGTAAACTTGTGCAATGCGCAACTTTTTAAAACAAGCATAATGGAAAGCGCGGAACGCCTCTGATTGGTTACGCGATACGCGTTACGCGGAAAATATCAATCCATGTAACCGCACCCTTAAAAAGCCGATTTTTGCAATTTCGCTCTTAAAAATATTATAATAAATGAAATGGAATGTTCCTATTCGCAGATATGTGTTTTCATACTGATAGTGATATTAGTGATATTTTATTTCCTAGAAGTAATATTGCGTTATGAGATCCTTCTGGTCCCTATTTTTTCTGAAGCGGTGAAAGTGCATGCAAAGCCGCATTTTGTAAATTGGTTTTTGAAAAATTATAATTATGTGCATCTCAACTGCACTATAGTATACATCGGATGAGATATATATTTTTATTTTATCATTTTCTTGAAAAAAAAAATCGCTCTGTACGAGCCTTCAGGTGACTTTTCTGATAACGAATATCATAATTAAAATACTATTTATGCAGTATTTTAGCCTGAAGAAATTCGTCTTCGACTAGAGGTCTCCATAGTCTCTCCTGTCGATCCTTAAAAGATAAATATGTATATGTTTGTGCGTTGAAAAGAAAGAAAGCAAAGATTCTGAATGCAAAAAGTGCAAACAACGCAAACAGATCTAATATCTTTGATTTCATTATAACGTACAATAAGATATTGTATAAGGTTATATTCTTAACGGTTCAAGACACATGTATTTCATAGTATAACGTGCAAGACACAAATATTTTATAATTATAACGTTTTATATCGTTTATCTATGGAGAAACAAAATTTGACTAGTAAATGTTATTATTTGTGGTTTTGGTTGTATGAGATTGATGCTTTGGTTACCACTCAGCCTATGAACTGCATTGGTTAACGATCTTTGTCAAGGAAGACTCTTACTTCATTACAGACATCACCACATAACATGCAACGTTTTATCTACTATTATTATTGACATCAATTCTGCTGAGGATGGCCCCAATACGGGCCGAAACGCACAGGTTGTTAATCTGATGTAATAAAGCGGTTTATGTATTATTGATATTAGACTCTTTCGCAAATACATCCAGCAACGACTCCTATAGCCTGGTTATTATTACTCATTGTTATTGTTAAGATAGGAGTCCATTAAATTATTATTTATATTGATTTTAATATTGTATAAGAATTTCTAAAGATGTATTCTATTTATCCATGCATTCTTGATTCTTTAATTAAAAAGAGAAGCTTGTGATTATGTGGTGCGGTCAAAGAATCGTGACGTATTCAATAATTCGTTATACAATTTTCGCAACTGTGTCGGCTGATTGCAATTACATACACGTCGTCCGTCGTGTTTTTCAGAATGGCAACAGAACTGGCGAATAAAAAGGCGGAGCGGGATGCTCTCAGGGGAGTCATACAGCAGTGGAACGCCAATCGCTTGGATCTGTTTGAACTTTCGGAGCCCAATGAAGTGAGTGTCGCATCTAAATTTTGCAAAATCGTTTCCGCCTTCAGTCAAGTTGTATTACTTTTTTCTTAATAGGACCTGGAGTTTCACGGTGTAATGAGGTTTTATTTCCAAGACAGCGGTCAAAAGGTCGCTACTAAGTGCATCAGGGTTGCCTCGGACGCGACCAGCCAGGCAGTGATAGAAACACTCATAGAAAAATTTCGTCCCGACATGAGAATGCTATCCGTCCCAGAATACGCCCTTTACGAGATTCATGAGAATGGAGGTGAGTTAAATCATCGATATGCTGATTCTACAATGAGTCAGTAATCGGTGGTCCTAAGTCTTATCGATGAAGTTGATCAATAGCCACCTTGTACAACTAAGGCCCAGTTCTACAACTCACAGTTTACTTTTAACCGAGGTTCAACTTGTTTCTCATCTCTTTCCAATTCTTGGAAAGAAACAATGGATAAGTTGAACCTCGGTTAAGAGTTAACCGTGAGTTGTGGAACTGGGTCTAACGCTGATTGGCCAACTTCACCGATTAAGGGCCTAAGCACAAAGATAACTATAACTGAGTCGTGAAACGTAAGTCGTAGTTGTAGGTTGATCAAAACATTGTGCGTTGACCTACGACTACGACTCACGTTTCACGACTCAATTACGATCATCTTTGTGCTGAAGTCTTTAGACACAAGGCTCGTCTGCACAGAAGTCGTAGACAGTCGTAGTAGGGTTTCAAATCGTAAGAAATTGATCAATTCTAGTCGAGTATTCTCTTTATATTTGATTGTGATTGGTTGGTTTCCTACGACTTAAGACTTCACGACTATCTACGACTTTTGTGTAGACGACTCTTAATACTTCCGACTACAGACTCATTGTAGAATCAGCATAACATAGGTTTGCATGATTTTAGCCGTTTGAAAAAGAATAAATTTTCCTGTAGTTTTTGATGTGCTGAATGGCTGAATCCGAATCCGTAAGTGAAAATGTTCTATCACATCAGGTTTTTGAGAAAAAAAGTTGAAACGCCTGAAAAAACGTGTTTTTGACTATTTTTGAAAATTCGTAGCTGATGCACTCGATATGCGAGACATTTCGAAAAAAAAGCTTAAATTAATGCTTCAATTGTACTTTAACATAAAAATATCGAATTTTTTACAACCGGCATCGAATCTCTAACAAGCTTTATTTTTAAGAATGGTGAGATAGTAGTGACAGTATCAAGTACATCGATTACTCCATGCAGTGTCCATGTAGTCCCCTATGCATGCAGTTACATAAAATTTCATATTTAGTAAAAAAATTTTACAATACATGCAAGTTACATAATTTTTTCGGTAAAACTTCCCCTTTACATAGCCAGTCCCAAATGACCTCCGAGTGACCTTGACCTTGTCTTTTAAGAAGGTCAATGATCTTTTCCGTCGCTCGTCATTCGTTGAAAAGTTATAAACAAAAAAGTTTCTATGCTTTAAAATAGATTTTCTGCTTTAAAAACAAAAATTCTCTGCTTTAAAATAGATTTTCTGCCATAAAAACAAAAATTCTCTGCTTTAAAATAGATTTCCTCCTTTAAAAACAAAAATTCTTTGCCTGGGGACGCGCGACTTTCACCCAAAGCGACTCCCACTCCACCCACCTCCCTCCTGCTTGGGAGCGTGCAATACCAGCCCATCCCCTTATCAAAGGAAAATATTGCTGATATATGTACCTTATGTTTAAAAGTTGTGTACTATTCATAAAAATTGTTTTGCTCATAACTTTATAATGAATAACGAGCGACGGAAAAGTCAATGGCCTTCTTAAGGGTCAAGGTCAAGATCACTTGGAGGTCATTTGGGGCTGGCTGTGTAAAGGGGAAGTTTTACCATTTTTTCTTACATACAATTTTTCTTTTATCTTACATATAAATTTCTTAAACTTTTTTATTAATAACTTTTTAACGGATGACGAGCAACGGTTAAAACCTCTTAAAAATGACTCAGGATCATGACCTTAATAACGTATGTCAAGATCAAGATCATCGGAGCGATCTCTCCTGATCGGCATTTTATCCTTTATTTTTCTCAAAAATCTGACGTGATATAACAATTTCACTTACAAATTCGGGTTCAGCGCATCAAAAACTATGCTCTTCTTTTCCAAACAGTACGAACAAAAAATCAAATTTTGCAGACATGCATAATTATCGTAAATTGTAAAATTTAGATATGATTAAAACTGAAACTGTACATTTAGCAAAAACATTAACTAGATTAAATTAAAAGGATTATATATCATTGAACTAATGTATCATCAAATTGTTTGGAACATACAGTTTCAGAATATTTGGAACGATACTCGTGTGCAGATAGAGCGGACTAAATTGAGTCGAAAAGTCCTCTATCATTTTGCAATTTTTGCAATAATTAACGAGATATTAATTTCTAAATATCGCTGAATAAGCGCGTATCCATCCGTCAAGGCGCAGCTTACCGTCAAACGTTCATCGATCGTGGTCATTACGCGCGAGGGGATTTGTTTATTATAAGTGGCAATATAGTTATTATAACGTCAATAATTACGTACGGCGGCAAAAGAAAACAATTCTCCGCTTGACTATGTAGTCACTATAGTGACTATGATCAATGGAAATGCATTTGGCGGTAGGCGGCTGGATGGATACGCGATCTTTAGAAATTAATATCTCGTTAATTATTGCAAAAATTGCAAAATGATATAGAGCACTTTTCGACTTACATCGAAACATTACTTTTTGTCCCACTTGGATTTTAATCAAACTTGGCAATATTTATCACCATCAAAGATGAAAACATGTATAACATTTCATTGATTAACGAGATACAGCGCATACGCAACGAGATACGAAGCATGAAAAATAATGAAAATAACACAAACGCACAAAATATGATTTTGTGTAACATTTTATTATTAAAAAAGATAACAATTAAGTACAAGTATGAAGATTGACTATTGAATGGTCAAAACAGAATACATATGTGCAATAAGCACAGCGGAAAAAAACTAATATTAGTTGTACAATTTTTGATATTACAAGTTTCTAATTCGAATGTGAAACAATATCCTAATGGTGTTATATAATGATCTAAATGAGAAGATAGAAAGCATGCTTTTTCAACATCATGTTTTCTATCTTTTCATTATATAACACTACTAGCATATTGTTTCACATTTGGGACTGCCGAAGAAATGCTTTACATGTTTCCATTTTTGATAACGATACGTCATTGGTGCCAAGTTTGATTAAAATCCGAATGGGACAAAAAGTAATGTTTCCTTTTTAGTTTAGTCCGTTCTATCTGCATACGAGTGCATGGTGTCCTAAATATTCTAGATTTCTGGGATACCTTGTATGAATATATCGCATTTTTTATCTTTAATTGATATCGATTTTTAATATACTACAAATTTCTATTAACTGAATTATGCTATTTAAATACATATACATTTATATTTAATGTATATGAATTCATGTCTATTTGTCTTAGTTGGAGAAAGTACTTTAATTAATTTTAACTTTTTTGCAATGTTATTTTCTCTAAAATATTTTAATATAATTTAATAATAGAGTATATGGAATTTTGTTTACAGAGGAGCGTAAACTTGATTTAGAAGAAAAGCCACTACTAGTTCAACTAAATTGGCATATGGACGATCGGGAAGGACGCTTCTTGCTGAAGAGGATCGACGATAAAACTAATGCGCAGGGCGTTGGTTTTACTTCAGCCGAGGGCTCTAGCTTCCGAAGAAAGTTGAGCAAGCGGGAGAAAAAACAGATCAAGAAGCAGGAGAAGCTCAGTCGACTGAAGAGTTTAGAGCAGGATGAGAATGCGGTGCCTGGTGATCCGAACGGTGTCGCCGAGAAGCTTTATACGGGTCAGTAAATATTATTTTCAGACTGTTTGTATAAAATTATTATTTACATAAAATTACTAAAAGATTAAATAACACACGAATATGAATAACAATAAATGAAATATAATCTTCGAAAAATATTTGATTAAAAAGAAATTAAAAGATTAAACAATAAGAACAATAAGAATCTTATTGTGAAAACACGACCAATAGGAAATAGGAAATAAAGATCTATAACGGTCGAAGCTGCATCTTTAATGCTTAAATAATTTACCATAATGTTGATTTGTATATACTATATATATATATATATACACACATGCATATATACTATATTTTTTAATCATTTGAACCGCTTGATTCTGGAAAAATTAATTCGGTGGTTCAAACGGTTAAAAATATGATATATATGCATGTACAAGTATATACAATACAAATTCACATTGAATTATTTAAGCATTAAAGATCCAGCTTCGACCGTTATAGGCCTTCATTTCCTATTGGTTGTTTTGAAAAGGGTTATTATTTATATTACACATTGTAATTAATTTTATTGTGTTGTTTTTTTAAAGTTCAAAATACAAAAAAATATAAAATTAAAAGTTTAATACATTATTATTGTCCTAATTTGATTATTTATGATTGTGTTATAATGAAAATAATGACAAAAATGAAATAAAAGTACTTCCTTGTTGCAACTATGCAACTATTTTTTCTTTCTGTATTATTAATGATATTTTTATCATTTTTAGAATTGCCTGAGACCAGTTTTACGAGGAGCATCTCGAATCCAGAAGCGGTGATGAGACGACGCCGTCAACAGAAGCTTGAAAGAAGGCTCCAACAATTTCGTAGTAAAGACGGTGGTCCTGACACAGGCGGCACATTGAAAATTTATGGTGAGGCGTTGTGTAAGGACGTTCCATACAAAACGCTGCTACTGAGTGTGCGAGATTCCGCCGCTCAGGTTGTGCGAGAGATGCTTTCTAAATATGGTCTGGAAAAAGTGGACCCGCAGTTATATTGCCTTGTGCAGGTATATATGAAATTATCGCGAAATTTATCCATGGATAAAATAAGTATTGTTATATATGGTGATATATATATAAATTTAGCAAATTTTAGAAATTGATTTCTTCAACTAATTTCGATTTAATCTAAAAGGTAGCGCAATTTGGAATATATTAATTGATGTTATAAATGAAACTTAATTGTTTAAATATTTTATGTTGAATAATATAATACTATAAATAAAATTTTATGTTAAAAAAATATTTCAATTTGTCAAATAATATAATTTAAAAAATGAAGGTAAATGTAAAAATATATAAATTTGTAAAACTACGTATTTATAAGTATACATATATAAAACAAAAGTATATATTTATAAAAGGATTAATTCAATAATTATTATTAAAGAAAGATTACTATTATAAAATTGATAAAAAAGAAATTAACAGTAAAGTGATTACACACAATAATGAGATAACAACAATATTAATAGTTTGCAATGTGTCTATGAATTAATAGAAACAGAAAGTAATGAATAATAATGAAGAATAATAATAATATATTTTGCTTAATGTAGTTTACCAAAGCATAATCGACAAGAAAATGGTCCTCGTCATATTACATGGAGATTGAAAGAATAAGATAAAGAATAATATAGAAAAAGTTATGTTAGCTGTATAAATACTAAATATATAGCAGACAAATATCATAAACTAAAAATATGTTTTATACAATACGATATATTTTTATAGCATTTAATTATCTTCTTACTTTCTGGAAATTATAAATACACCAACATCAGATATTTTTTGTTAAAAGCGCATATATATTAAATCACTATCTTGTTTATGTAGGTTAATAGTGAGAACGTGAGTGGTAATGCGCATCAGGAATATATATTGGACGACGACGAGTGTCCTTTGGCGATATTAATGAATCATCCTTCCACGCGAGGTAAGAATTTACTTTTACATCAATACTTAGCTGCACAATTGCTGCATAATTCTAATTTTGTGTGTATATGATATTCCAACTGAATGAAAATGAAAAAGAGGGAAGTGGATATGATTTGGTTTGAATAGGGTTGAATAATTTTGTTACTTAAAGTGTTTAATATAACGCACATATGTTTCTTACTTAATTCCTCAGGATATTATATTTGGAATTAATCTTTGTACATTTGAAAATATACTGAGTTTTTCGTCTTTCAATCTATCTTTTTTATTGAGGATTTAATATCAAGTTCTAACACGACAATAATAATTTTATGTAAAATATGTCAGTAATTCAACAAGCTGTTCTTATTTTTAAATTTAAATCTTTTGAGATAATATGATACAATTTTAATTAGAAATAATTTTTGCATGTTTCATTTTTAAGTTAATTTTGCATAAACTTTAGACTACAATATCTTAATTTTTAAATTTTAATAAAGGATATATTAAAAAATGAATTGATATTTGATTAAATAGCAAATATTTGTAAAAAAGCAACTAAAAATTTTGCTACGTATGTATTACACGAGAATAATAAACTGGACACACAGAATTTTTGGGGAACTATTTAAAATTATATTTATTAAATATATAACTTAAAAAAATATAACTTAAAATATCTATGGTGGAAAAGAACGGTAAAAGAAGGTAGTAAAAGTTAACGTGCGCGGAGGAGGAAAGAATTCTTGAAATGGAGATGATAGGATAAAATAGGATTGATCTAATGAAAAAAAGATTGACATCAGAATTTACGAGATAAGAACAAAAGTTTAATGAGAAAGAATGAATTTAAAGTAAAAATTAAATTTATAAGGTTGTGCGTAAAAATAAAAAACTTAATATCAGCTGATAAAGGCGAAGGTTCGACGAAAGGAGCGACAGAAGGGAGAGAAAGAGAGGACGAACTGAAGCATAGAGGGTAGTCGATGGGGGATGTAAGGGTGGCAAGGAGAAGAACCGATACCAACATTGCCTCAGTTGGCTCATGTCGTCGGTACCGGCGCCAGTGCGCGGGCGCCGTCGTCGCCGCCTTGTCGTCGTCTTTGCCCTCGTTTCGATATCGTTGTTTACGGAGAAATAATTGCCCATAATGTCCGACAATTTGAGTCAAAATTTGTGCAACGAATCGAGCAATCGTTAATTTTATCTGAGTTAAAATTATAATTGTTCCAGCATATCTTGCGTGAAGTATGTCAAGATTTAGCGCCTCGTTGCCTTTTTTGTACAGTAATCCGTATATTAATTAGTTGCTTAATTATTTTGTTTGTTTAAAAACGTTTTTATATTGAATCCGAAATCCCTCAATCGTTATCGGGCTTATGACGAAAGTGTACTCGTCCACACGTTCGGTGATCCGTTGTAGCCTCGACCGAGTAAATAGACGTGTTATTCTTCGTGACAACATGTACAAATACGACACAACATATTAATAGCCACACACGGTTGACTTGTTTTATGGAAACGCAACAGAGAGAATTAAGAGTGACACAATTGAATCTACTCACTGTAACATCTCTCTACACAATTAAACGAAGAAGTGAATAGTTATAATTATACGCACATAATGCAACGCGAAGTGGTCCAAGGTGTGGCGTCTTTGAACACAATTAGCTCATTATCAACGTACGTATTAAAGACTTTTCATAGTAGCGAAAGTGAAAGTACCCACTCACACGATTGCGATAATGCGCCGTAATGTGTACGAAAGAATAAACAATCACGTACGTGACTGAAGAAGTAAATACGATTATACACGCGAGCGTAAGACGTTAATGACCAGCGTCATCGAACCCGAACTCCTCAACATATCAAAGAAAAGCGAATTGATGAAAGTGAATCCATTTAATCCGCATAGTCTGGTCACTCTCCGCAATTTTGTGAAGAATCAAGTGACAATCTCAAGTACGAGCTACTAATTAAGCCATTAGTAATCGTAATCCAACGTAATTGAATCTTATTACAAAGACATGAAATATTTGTAACAATAGAAACTCGATATTCAGTAAGTCTCGTAATTCACATAAAGGCCGCAACGGCTATCGATTACATGCACAACTTAGAAGTACAAAAGAATTCTATTGGCCTATCATTAGCGAGATATCATAAAAATATTGCACAAATCACGCAAAACCTTGATGAAGTGAGCAGGTGTCTCCTTGACCAATAACACATGACACTTGAATGCAGGTCTCAAAGTCGACCTAATCAGAGACGATCGACTAATCATTACTCTGGCAAATAATGGTGATTATTATGGCCATTATGTGATACTTCTGGAAGACGCTGAATCAACGACGATTTTATCTGATCACTTATTAATTATCGTATGATCATTACAGATTATCCTAATGCGTTACTACATAAATTAACACGTGAGCTGTTTATCTTCTCTTTAAATCAACATTAAATATCAGATTTGCATGAACAACGAAGAGGTCGATTCAACAATACTGTCAATTGCATAATCGACGACATACTCTATTGACCCATCAGTGCACGTCGATGACATCTCGAATGAACTCTTTATCGTCAATCTTATGAATCACACAATCCGTAGTTATAGCCTGTAAATATCCTGTAATCTGTTCAGGAATCACCACGGTTAATGCCATGGAGTGTCATTGTGAGAACTCGAAGTAACATTTTAATTAATGCGATCATTAGCGACCATCGCAATGATATGTTTACCTGTAAACTTTCAACGTAATTGTATCTGAATGAGCATATTAATATCTTTCTCAAGTATATCGTAATGTCGATTATCGTATTTGTAATGTTTACATTAAGATTCCATTAAGAGTATGATCAGCTAAGCTATTTATAATTTCTTCTGTTGAGTTATTATTAAAGATAGGAAGTATACGAATGACCTCCACTCTTGATTTTATCCGTAGTCTAAGTTTAGACAATGTCGCCGGCATGTAAATCAAACATCGAGCATAATAGAAATAGATTGAGGATAAATTCAAGTCAATTCATTTTAAATTCGTCATCATTGTAGCGAGAATAGATATCGAAGAGATTTGATTATACGTTTTAACGTCCGTCGATAATTATAATTGATAAAATTCGCCTGACCAGCTTGAGGCGCCAGCGGATTCTCATAAGGAAAACGGAGCAACGAAAGAAGGGAACAAAGAGGGGACCAATATTTAGCAGCAGCAATAATCGACGAAGGGACCACGAAATTTAATTAAATAAGGCGATCGTCATGATGGATTGGGGAATACGACGTAAGCTTCTGTTAAAGCTGACGAATTATGCATGACGCATATAGAGCTCAAGTTTCTTTATGTGATCCCATGTTAATTTGTTGAAATAGCCATTGTTAATTTGTTGAAATATGAACGTTCTTATACTGTAAAGTAGCTATGCTGAAAGCTTGAAAATTATTTAATGACAATATACATATTTTTCCCCCGTTTATTTCATTTTTGTAAAATATATTTTCTTCGACCATATCCGTCTGCTTTTTACTGAAGAAGAATGATTGTTAAAAGCAGCAAGATTTTTAAGTTCCATTACATATATAAATTTTGCGTATTATTGAGTTTTTCGATAATTGTTAATAAAGTTTGCAGTTTGTCTTGTTTGCATGTATACATCTCATTGCATATAAAAAATGATAGCACATCCTAGGAGATAACATAAAATATTATTTGAACATATTATATATAGCTTTATTTGAGAATGCGGATAATTTATGAAAAAATCGTTGTAATTTCGGACAAAAATGTTGATTGTTTGATATCATCGCGATATAAAGTTTTCTCGATTCAAAACAACCATTATTTATTTAATCATAAGTAAGTATTAAAGAGAATTGATCTTAAAGGAGAAGAAGTTATATATAGTTATACTTGTTGTGAGTTATTATTGTATATGAGTAGAATGTTTTCTTTAGACATTTTTTAGGTTTAGGCAGGTTTGGTGCGCTCCAAAGGCGACGGAAGCCAGTAGGATAGAGAAGTGTCAGACCGATCACGATGCACGCCGATCTCTTGTGATCTTTTTACGCGTGTCATACATCCGCGACGGCAAGTCGGCGACGGCGTGTATACGCCGGAATTGAGTCCGCGGGAAATCAATAAAACGCCGGAACGACTGCGTTATATGTCGACCTACATTCGAGTACTAGCGTGCCACCTTCGTTTTTCTAAAAATATCTCGGGTAATTTCTCCTTTCCGCCTGGTGGAGTAGTCGCGTGGGCCGATTTCGATCATTTCGACATGTTGCTCCGCGTCGAAGCGAAATTTTCAGTTTCTTGATTATGATCGCGACGATGACGAGCCGCGATTTCCAATCGAAACGATTCGGATCGTACCCATGATGATTAAAGATGTATTACACATAAATTTTCAAAATATAATAAAAAAAATTATAGATTTTTCTAATTGCATTTAATAATAAAAAATTTAGCGACGGCTTAGTATCTGGATCAAAAGTTATTTGAATAAAAAGTAGTATTTGTTTTATCTGTGCTCTAATGGAAATATATGGAGAAATGTATTATAAAATAACAACAAAAATCTCAATTTTTTAAATAAGTGTTTTGAGTATTATTCAAGATGATTTATGCAAAGTTTCATTACGACTCAGAGATTAATTGTTCCATAAATGAACAAAATTTATTTTTTTGTTTATTTACAGAATAACTAATCTCTGTATTGCGAACTTTGAATAAATCATCTTGAATACTTGAAACATTTATTTAAAATTAAAAAAATTGAGATCTTTTTTATTATATTATAATACATTTCTTCTCCATATATTTCCATTACAGCACAGATAAAAGATATTACTTTTTATTAAAGTAATTTTTTATGCAGATTCTAAGCCGTCGCTAAATTTTTTCTATTACTTTTCAATGCGATTTGAATAATCTGTAATTTTTTCATTATTTTGAAAGTACGTAATATATCCTTAATCATCCTGGACAAAGCATAAATCATTTTGAA